CATCCGTATCATTGTAACATATCGAGTATGCGTAATCTAGCGTAATTCGGGTAGGTACGTGTGCGCCGGGTATATTCCATTGCAGTGGCGGCGAGACGAGCACGTGTATAGACTATAGACGTCGCGGCGCTATTTCGAGCCGCCGCGAAGAGCGAGAGCGGGGGCGGCGTTTGGTTTGAAGATTTGCCGCTTTATGCTCGACCTCATCGCCGCAGAGTGACAGTACCGTATCACGTCATTCGCCACCACGCGCGATAAGCACATCCAATCATATTCCAATCTTCATATTCCAATATTTCCCTCGTTTCGCTGAAACTTCGTAATTACTCTCTCTGCGCTTCTTTCTTTCCGTTAGACTACGTTAGAAATAATGCGCGCAAGGAGCGTCTTGAATTTATTAAATATAGCGCGGAAGAGAAGTTTTTCTGGATTTGACTTACGTTAATGAAGATTGACAATTAAAATAGCATATTGATATAAAGATCTAATTAACTTTTTTTAAAGCTATTTTAGCATTAAAACGTTCAAAAATTACGAGAGAATTTGATATTGTTTTTCCAGTTAAACCGAAAAAATGATTTATTTGTATGTCCTTGCGATTCCAATGCTTCAGGCATTTCGCCAACTACTCGTTGGTATATTTATCACTACGCCATTCATAAAATTGATTCCGGAGCGTATCGGGGAAATTGAAGTTGGCATTGCACTATATCGCTTCGATGCACTATTATTCTAGTCTAGTAGATAACTAGGTAAACATTCAGACATAAACAAAACTCGTTAGTAGTCGAAGAAATACTTAATTACAATCATGAGCAAAAACCATCAAAATGTGATGGTCGTCAGCGATGAAATCGGTCACTCCTTTGTCGCAAATTACACGCGATTGATCTACTTTTTGAAGATAAATCTGATATCGATATGTAATATTCATCAGGTCGCGCGTCTCTGCTTGCAGGTCAGAGTTTGGGTTACGGTTTCGTCAACTATCACCGGCCTGAAGATGCCGAAAAGGCTATAAACACGCTCAATGGTCTTCGTTTACAGAACAAAACCATCAAGGTGAGTAGTTTTAATGTAGTTCTTAGTATATCTTTGTTCGCGTCATTCGTTCTTTGCGATTTCCATAATAATGCAGCGCGATGATTATTCGCCATCTATTTTATTTTCCACGATTAAACTAATGTTATTTTTTGAGAAATCATAGATCTCCATTATTTGTTATGATCAATGTCTATAATACAGGAGAGATATCGAGATTAACATAAAAATCGATAGACTATTTTTGTCAGCCGACTATTTTGCAAAGCGTTTCTATCCGATTTCTAGAATGCTAAATGCATCTACGCGAGCGTGTAGGGCGGTAATGCAGCAATATAAATAGGTTGGCCTGGATTCGGGCGGATTTTATCGCGCGCGAACAAGAATAAAGCGATGATTATCGCGTGGGCACGTTTTTTCTCCTTTTTTTTCTTAAATTACTTCCTATTCGATAAAATATCAAGTATCTCGGTGACGTTGATCTCCTCGGTTTTTGTCAGATAATCTGACGAATATTTGTCGGAATTAAAAAGAGAATATTTTTTGAAACGCGATTTCTTTTTCTTCTAGGTGTCGTACGCGAGACCGAGCAGCGAGGCGATCAAAGGCGCGAATCTGTACGTGAGCGGTTTGCCGAAAAATATGGCGCAGCAGGATTTGGAGAATCTCTTCAGTCCTTACGGCAGAATTATCACGTCGCGGATATTGTGCGACAACATCACCGGTAAGTCTACGCAAATCCGCCTGTCTATAATTTTCGCGAGCTTTCCGTCACGATAATATTTCCGATCGGATAAAATTTCCGACAACGCTTGTCAATTTTTCCGACAACGCGAAATAAGAATCCGACAAATCGTCGTTATGGATATCGTTTGTAATAATGTCCTCGTGCGGTTTCTTCCAGTCGATTTAGATCCGATTTATCTAACTTATATTTTTATTCGCGCTGAAACGAATTTCGCAATATGATGAAATCGATGTGCGAGAGAATTATATTTAAGACAGCGACAAAATCGGAAATCTCCGGTGGCTTTAAATAAAGCTTGATCCAGATCACAGGTGCGTAGGCCATGGGGTTAGAGTCCGTTTGTAGGGTGGGTCGGTGCGCCGTACACGGTAACGACAACGAAAGTGCGAGTAAGAGTATTCTCGTTGAAGCGTTAACGATAAATATTCCGTTGAGCGAACGAGATCGTATCAGTTTCACTTCGTTATGTTTTCTTTCGCCTGTACACACTCTTCCACACATTTCCTCATTCGAAGAGCACGAAGAGCAACGATTTCACGAGTATACAGCTTCGCATATTATACACGTAATTTTGTTCTCGAGGGGAGTTGAGTTATATGTATACCGACGACGAATACGATGACAGCTCGAAGTGTCGCGCAAGTGTCTCTCGCTTTTAGTCGACTACGAACCTTCCCGAGTTGGATTTCATTTGCGTCTCTTTGGTTTATTTATTGCAAATGCTCCTCCCTGGCCAGCCCAGTTGCACGCACAAAAGCCTCATGGCCTCCACCTCGATCTTAATTTCGTGCTTCCTTACCGTGCTCACTTTTCACGCCATTCCGCTCATCTTCCACTCCATTCCGACACCCTTGTCGCCACTTGTCACGCGTTATCATCATCATCATCATCATTATTCCATTATCCAGACCAGGCTTGCTTTGTTTTTCCCTGAAATTTACGTTCTTGTCCAATGCCGCTTTTTCCTACCTCCCGCAAAAGTGAACACGCGCGATACACCGAATTTTTCCCTTTTTGGCGCTCACGCTTTTTATATGATTAAGGAGATCTGAAATAGCATAAATTACACGAAGTCCGCTCGCCCCTTGTATACGTGCTCGTCCTAGTTAATTTACTTTCTTTAAAGTAATATCATTTCTTCGTTACCGTAGAAAATGTTAAATATGGAAGCAACGAATATCAAGCTACGATGATTAAAACGTTGAATAACAGTTAAAATAAAATAAAAGCGATTTGTTTATTTTATTAACGGTTTACATATAATTTTTATGATTTTCCTAAACCTTTTTTTTATTTTCTTAGTTGTGTGCATAATTTTATATTTTTTATATTATTTATATACGTGCATAGAAATGATTCTTACTGTATCATTAAATGTAAACTCGTCAATTTACCTAGGTTCTTGCTTCTCGTAGATTGCTGGAAATTAAATAATTTTGAATTATCTTGCTATTGCGAGAAATTCTGCAGATAATATTAAACTTCTCGATTTATCACGTCGCAGATGTCTTTTTTTTTTAAATTTTAAAGCTCACAAAAATAAGACTCGTTGCCTTTTACTTTGTTTTTGTTGTGTTCTTTTTTTTTGTTAACCCTGTCACTTGGTCTTATCGCGCAAACACGTTTTATCATCCCTCGAAATCGCCAACGTATCACAGGGGCGAGCGAATCGCGTGTTGTGCTGCCAGTTGGATTTTAACGAGATATGATTTTTTCCGTTTCTGTTTAGTACGACAGTTTGTGACCGGCGGCGGAGACAATTTGCCCGGTACGTAAATCACAAATCTCTTTTCTTTTCCCTCATTACGTCCTCTAGCTGAAACGAAAAGCAGCCGTTTCTTTCGATCTGTGATGCGCGCGCGTCTCTCGTCTGCGCGACCTCGTTTTTTTCACGCGTAGCCATGTATACCTCGTCAATGTCATCGCCATCGTTGTTAAATAAAACACAACGCAGCGGTACATACACCGGTCTTCCCCGCGGTGTAATCGAGTGTCGCTCGGAATCGAAAATCGATTTGTAATCGCGCCAAGTAAACGTCACCTTCGATAAAACCCGTTCTGCCTGTCTGCCTGCCTGTTAACGACGATATTTTGTCAAAATTAATTTGCAATTCCGGCGAGCAGTGGAGAAACTTCGCATTTCAACGAAGAAATTTTACATTATGCGACTTACATTACTAGATTTGACTTTATGAAAATTGAAATTGGTGCGCAAGAGAGAGAGAACAAAAGTCAGTAAAATATTAAATATCACGGTTTAATGTTTCGCGAAACGTCCTGCGTTGTTAACACGTCTTGACTGCGGCTCAGCAAAATTCAAAATTGATATACGAATTTATTTTCGAACGACCGAATATAAGGAGAGAAGACGAGAAAATAATTAATTGCATCTCTGTGTTTCATCGTGCAATGACAGATGATGCGCGCATCCAGTGTTTTCCTGAGCGCCATTTTTGTTTCTTTACGCTTTTTGTCATTCGTTATAATTATGATTTGCTATTATGGTCTTTCAATTATATCGACATGTGTCCGCGATCGAAAATATACTCGCTCTATCTCACTCTCTCTCTTTCTCTCTTTCTCTTTCTCTCTCTTTCTCTATCACTTTTCTTTGTCTCTCACTTTCTCACTCTCTTTCTCTTTTTCGTTCCTATTTTACCCGTTATCAATCGGCACTAGACCGCGAATGATGAATAAGATCTACGGCAAAGTAGAGTATCGAAAGAAAGACAAAAAGACGTCCACCCGACGAGGCATCGTCGGTGTGTTTGTAAAGAAACGAATCTGCGCGCACCGAACCACTCGCTTTGTCTCTATGTAAAAAAAAGCTTTAAAAGCTTTATAAAATAAGCTTAGCGTTTCTCGAGTCTACGCGACGTGTACTCAAGTCGTGTCTTTCCGTCATTACGAGAGATATAAGCGATTTACACTCGTAATTTGTCGCTGCTCTCGATGATACTTGAACGCAGTGCACCGCAATATGTGAAATGTGAATTGTTCTGCACGCATTCTATAATCTAATTGTAAGTGCAACGAAGTGATAACTCGTCACATTATCAGGATCGTTAACTGGTCAAGAAAGCTAGCTAAAGGCTCATTAATAATGATATCGTGTAATAAGTAAGGAGGCATAAATGTACAATAAGACGATGTTGCGGTAAGAAAACATGTGCAGGTAACGATCGTGACACAATTAAAAGTCCTCCAAATTGATTTTGAGCCGTCGTTTTCGCTGTTCGCCCTTTCGCGACGTCGCTAGTTAAATAAAAATAAGAAAGAAACAGAAAAGAAAAAGTACGGGAATCCAGAGATCGGTCGGAAGTGTTCCGAATTCCGACGCGGTCTCGGCGAACATTTGCGTCGCGAGTCGACAGCAATAACCAGATGCGATCTTGTGTGTTCCGCCGTTTATCTCGGCACCTCTCGACAGGCCTGTCGAAGGGCGTCGGCTTCATAAGGTTCGATCAGCGCGTCGAGGCCGAGCGGGCGATCCAAGAGCTGAACGGCACCATACCGAAGGGCTCGTCCGAGCCGATCACCGTCAAGTTCGCCAACAATCCCAGCAACAACAACAAGGCGATACCGCCGTTGGCCGCCTATCTCGCACCACAGGCCACGCGGCGCTTCGGCGGGCCGATCCACCATCCGACCGGCCGCTTCAGGTACATTCCACTGTCGCCACTATCCAGGTACCTACTCGCCTCTACTCGCTCTACCCAAGGATTTTCACTATCTTTCTAACTCTTCTTCGTCTCTGCTCTGTCTCTTTCTCTCTTTCCGCTTCATTCTTACGGCTTCCGTTACGACATTTCCGTCGGAGAGTGTTGCGCGGAACGATTGGTCGCGGTTGTTAAGACGATGCTGATGTTCTGGATACTCTCCAGCACGGACGTACGCGAATCAAACATCGCGACCGATCGGCTGCAATATCGTTTTCCCGCTTTTCTTTCACTTCTCTATTGATTGATTTATCTGATAATTCTTCAGCTATATAAATTGAGTTCTCTCTACTGAGTTATTTATCCATGGATCTTTCCTTATTCGTCCACCTATCTATCCAATTATCCGTTTATTTTTTTTTTATTTTTCTCTCTAAGAACTATCTCTAACTATCTAGCATATACTATTCGTCTTCTTCCTTCTATTTTCTCTCTTGACACACACACACA